CTGGCAGCCGCGGAGGCGAGAAGCTCGGCAGCCCGAAGGGATCTCCCTGGTGCTGCACCTGCGGAAACACGGGCGCAGTCAGCGGTCACCGTGGGGCGGCCAGAGTGGGGGGGACTCGCCGGGGGCGGGGTGCTGTGGCCAGCGCTGGGGGTTCCTCCAGTCCTAGCAGAGACCTCGACCTTCTCCTAGGATGTCTGTTTCCTCATCCTGCAAATAATTCCCTCCTAATGGGCCGTTGTGTTTGAAACAAAACACAACAAAAAAAGCATGGGTTTACATCAGGGCCTTTGTTTTTTGTCTCTAATATGGAACCAGTAACAGTATCAACTTCATAAGGTAGTTATGAGCATATAAAGTGCTAAAAACAAGGCCTGGCCTCTAGGAAGGGTTCAGTAAATGTCAGATGTTTCATTAATATTATCTTAAAAGGTCAGGGTTCAAATCTTGTCTCTGCTGTGCCTGTTTGGGCAACAGTTTCCCTTCTCTGAGCCTCAGTTTTCTCATCCATAATATGGAGGAACAGCTCTCTGTCCTGTCTTCTCCCTCACCACATTGAACCTAGGGCTTCCTGCATGCTAGGCAAGTACTTACTCTATCACTGAGCTGCAACTGCAGCCCTTTTTATTTTAAGGCAGTTTTGCTAACTTGTGTGGCTGGCCTCAATCTTGGGATCCTCCTGCCTTAGTCTCTCAAGTTGCACAACTAGGCCCAGCTCCCCTGTGCTGTCTTTCTACCAGAGTTCTCTCAAAAATTAGAGGTACTCAGTGGATTTCACTCTCTTCTCCCATCCTCCCAACCTCTGTATCATATCGGCAGGTATTTAATGAACAATTTTCATATGAATGAACAAAGATAAAGATGATTTACAACTTCTCAAATGCAAACATTTCTCTTTTGCAAACATCTTACTTCTGGTTCAAGCTTTGTTTGCTGCTTAAAAACATTATCTTCCCAATAGTGGGTGTGATGATAATAATAATGGCTTTGTAAATAAGAGAGTTAAACTGAAGACAGTGACTAGCCCTGTAACCCATCTAGGAAGTGGCAGAGCTGGAATCTGAATCACAGTTGGTAGGACTACAAAGCTAATTCTATTATTCCACTACCCACTGTCTTGTTTCATTATTATTTTAATGTTATCATTACTGCCCAAGGTCACAAGTGGGTAGGCCTGTTGTTTGTCTGATTCAAAACTACAGCCCTGGGCCTGGGGTTGTAGCTAAGTGGTAAAGCACTTGCCTAGCACATGTGAGGCACTGGGTTCAAGCCTCAGCACCACATAAAAATAAATAACATAAAGGTTAAAAAAAAAAAATACTAGGGGCTAGGGGGTATAGCTCAGTTGGTAGAGTACTTATTTGTCTCGCAAGCACAAGGCCCTAGGTTCAATCACCAGCACCAAAAAAAAAAAAAAAAAAAGAAAATACTACAACCTATTTTCACTCCACTAAAGTGGGATTATCTTCTCTCCTTGGGCAGGGTAGGGCCTTCAGGCCAACCAAAGGTGTTGATAGCTCTATTTTCTCTGTATCAGCTCCTTCTTGGTCCCTTTGAATATTCTAGGTAGAGGACTTCACAGTCCATCTTTATTTAGTGCCTCCTTTTATGTCCCATGAAGATAAAAGTGACAAGATCACACAGAGCTTAGAATGTAGGTTTCCTGACTCCTAGACTAGAGTACCCTTTACAGTCTCAGGCTTTGACTTCAGGCACAAGGTGTAGTGGCACCCCCTCCTCCACAAAAAAATCTTAGTTAAGTTTCTCCAGAAATCTTCACCATCATTGATTTTAAGACTATAAACAAGAGTCTTTACAAAAAAGTTTAATGTAGTTAAACTTCCTATTTTCCTGTTGCTCTATTTTACTTGGCCACTGGCTGGAAAAAAATCAGCATTCCAGGTGCTGAAGTCCTTTTACTTGTTTTTCACAAACATATATCCAGTATAGTAGTTTGTAAAAGTGTTTGCAAATACAAAATGTGATTTAAAAAACAAAAATCATTTAACAAGGTCTTTGGCCTTGGGCTGCAGCTTCACAAAGATGTCTTCTACATTTCTAAGATAAGAAAAGTTACCAATTGGGCTCCATGGAAACAGCTGGCATGGAGAGGAAAGAATGGGGAGAAGTTCTCCTCTTCTCAGGTGTTGTCCTTAAAGGGTTAACTTGCCCACAACAGTGGGAAAAAAAAGAAAGCTGCTTTTATGTAAACTTCTGAGCACCTAATCTTACATGCTGGGTATAAAACTCTGAAACTATTTGAACTCTCCGGATTCAGGCAAAAGCTGTGTGCCCTCTGAACCTAGCTGCAGCCAAATAAAACTGTTTCCTGCTATCTTACTTCAGTGCCTTGCCTCATCTGTCCCTATAACAAAGGAAAGGAGGCTCCAATCTGAGGCAGAGGTCATTTGCCTTCTCCATTTGCTCTGTGGCCAGGAGTAGTGGCTGTCTCTCTCAGGAGGTTTGTTTTCCACAGCTGGGAATGAGGTTGAGAAAATAGGTGATAGAGGACCTCTGTGACCTGTGCTTCCTTGTTTCCCAGGCCCAAGGCACCCCCAACCCCTTTCCCACTCACATATTCCTGGAGCAGCTGCTCTGCGTATTTGGTGAGGAGGCGGGCAAGGCTGTGTGTCTGACGGATCTTGGCCTCCAAGTGGGGAAGGAGTGAGATTGAATCGTCAGCCTGGGGGTCTTCTGGTGGGAAAGGGAGGGAGGAATGAGGGCAGCCCAAGCTCCTGCTCCTTGACCACCCAGCCAGTTGGTCTGTTCAGTTTCTGAACCCAGAAACTCTACTCTGAATGCTCCAGCATTCAAGCCAGGAAAGATCTGTCCCACTCCAAGTGAGGAAAAATGGGGCACCAGACTTTTATCAAATAGTTGCTCTACATGAAATGTGTCCCCTGTCCCCAAATCACTATTGAAATCCCATTAAAACTAACTTTAAATTCTGCCTCCTCTTTGCAGAATCCAGAATCCTTAAATGAACTGCTCCCTTTGACTTAAGGCCATTTGTTCATAATTCCAAGGTAGCTCTCCAACCTGTGTATATCTACCTTAGCCTGGGATGCTTCTGAGAATAGGGCCTTACACATGCCCTGTGATTGTTGGTGGAATTCAACATCCCTGAAGCACAGAACTTCAAATTGGAATGTGACTTTAAGGCCCATTTTACAGATAGGGAGACCATGTCCCATTCCCTCTCTGATGCTCCTACTGGGCAGGGCAGCATCTCCTGACTTTCCCTGACACAAACCAGAGTGTGGCGCCCAGAAGGACTACGAGCCCCGAGACGCACAGTGCATGCTGGGGAGTGTAGTCCAGGCCCGGCAACTCCCGCCCCGCCCCCGCCTGAGTTTCCCACAACCAGTCCCTATCCTCAGCAGCTTTGACTTTCGAGTCCGGTTGTCACTCACTAGTTCCTGTGGCTCAAAAAATTACTTCCCTAATTCTACCTCTCCCTCCGGCTCCCCAGCTCTGATTCTTTCCCAATAATCAGAGAGGACCTTGGCGCCTGACCCATCCTCGACCCCAGCCCTCCCTCAATGTGCTGTACTCACCGGTGATCTAAGCCCTGAGCCCACACCCTGGAGGACTCAGCCCCAGGCCTCCTCTAAACCTTTGCGCCTGCCCTTTCTCCCAACTCACCCGCACGTTACCTGACACCGGAGCCTGCTTTCCCCCGCCCAGGCCGCTCCCCTCCCGGACCCAGGGGTGGTGAAGACCCAGACCCCAGCTGCCAGCCTTTCTGATTCCTGCTCCCTTCGGTGACCCAGCGTCTGGCCCCTCAGCCCCTTACCCAGACTTCCCTCCCTCTGGCTCATGCTGGCCCCTGCTGATCCCGGTTCCCTCCACGCCCCCCTTCCGAGGGGGGAGAAGGGGAAAGGGGTAGGGGCGTGGCTCGGGCGTAGCCAATCATAGTCCAGACCCCAAACATTCCCCCCCGCCCCACCAGCCCTTCTAGGCAAGATTCCTTGGCCCTGAGCTCAGCAACTAGTCTGCGCCGCCTGGTCAGGGAAGGGGCCCCGCCAGGGATGCAGGTAGTCTGACCTGTGGACATTACCTCAAGCCCTGGGAGACAGCCTTGTAACCCTCTGGAAGAGGAGGCTCTAGTTCCCACCTGAAGCGGGGAGGGACGCCAGGGTTGATTTGGGATTAAAGCTTCAGGGACCGGAGAGGGAAGCCGCGGGCTAACAGGAATGTGCAGGCCCTCCCTCTTGACTGGGGCTAGGTACTAAAGAGGCAGCGGTGGGGGCCACCGGCTTGAGAAGCACCTTTCCAAACATACACCTCCTGGCCAATCTTAGATGCCTTCCATTCTCCTCATATCTGCCAGGAGGGAAACAAGACACCACCACGCCTCACCTTACCAGGCTCACTAACCAACAACCCCCATCCACGTGTACATTGCATCTCCTGGAGAGTTAAGGTATTCAAATGCGCATGCTCAGAGAACAGGTTTGAGAGACCTGTAATAGGAGGTCCAGCTCAAACAGCAACCTCATTAGTGTGGTGTACACACTGAAATGATTATACACACTTATCCTCATAGCTGATTCCCAAGCATCTACTCTATCCTGGCCTCTGAATTAGAGAGGATCCATATTTGGTCTCTGGCCCCTTGAGTTCACAGTCTGATGGAGGAGACCTTAAACAAGCAGGTAACAGAGTTTGTGAGCCAAGGGACTGAGAAGGAGGCCAGCATGCCCTTTCTCCCAATTCACTGGCTCCTTACCTGACACCGGAGGATATTACCATGAACAGACAATTGCCAAAATAAAGGAGGGTATAGCAGGGGTAGGAGCCAGACTGTTGTCAGGGGTCACAATCACACACTAATCAACAGTTAACATTTACTGGGTATTTACTGTCTTCCAAGCATTGTACACACACACACACACACACATCACACACGAAATATGTGTATAAGATACACGTATATGCATGTGTAATATATATATTACAAGTATGTGTATATATATGTATCTACAACATGGGATTAAGATATATATGTATCTACTATGTAAGATGTAAGATATAAGATACATAAGATATATATGTATCTATCACTATCTATCTATAGTTCGGCTCCAGAAATGCTGTCATAACCACTCTCCTAATCCTTTAACCCCTCTGAACATGATCACACCAAAACTCACAGACAAATCTTTGAAATACAAATCATAAAGCACAGCAACACAGGTTGAGACTTTATCATATCTACTGACTGAGCATCCTCAAATAAAATTAACTGAGACATATTCATATTTTTAAGTAAACTTTTTACTGAACTGTAATAAACATATGAAAAAGTGCACATATAATAAATATATAGTTTGATGACTTTTCAGAGAGTAAATATGCCCCAGGAATATCAATCAGTACCAGATTAAGAAATAGAACACAGCCACTTCCCAGAAGCCCCACTCTTAACCTCTCCCTGTCTGAAGAATGACTACAATCCTGACTTCTCACACCATAAGTTTGTCTGTTTTTGATCTTCATATATAGAATCATCTAATGGTTACCATTGGATTTCGCTTTTTTTATTCAAGATTTGTCCATGAGACTCGTCTAGGTTGTTGGGTGTAGCAGGACACTGGTCATTCTGCTTGCTGTGTCTAAGTCCATGGTGTGAATAGGTTGTAATCCATTCCAATTATCCTTGTGGGCTGGCATGAAAAATGCCAGTTTTTCAGAGTCTCTCCTAATTTACACTCCTGTAGAAATATAAGGGACATCCAATTGCTCTACTTTTTGCCTAAACTTGGGATGCTATGTCTTTTTCACTTTGGCCATTTTCGTTGGGGAAGACCCACTCGTATTTGCAGTTTCTGACATACACTTGGCACTCAGTTAACAGACTGTTGAATGAATGGATGAGCGAGTAAGTTGAACAGTGTAGAATCAGGCTGGTGAGAACGGAAGCAAGCACACGCGCGCGCGCGCAAACACGACACCCAGCATTTCAGGGACGCCCACCCGCTGCGGACGCACATCAGGACACAGACCCTCTCGTGCACCCCGGCACCCACGTGGTCTGAACGCACCGCTAGGCCCTGCTGCGCGCGTCTAGCCGCCGAGCTGCCCCCAGACTCTCCCTCTGGGCGGC